TCATCAGTACTCAACTGAGTCAATCATCAGTAATCAACTGATTCAATCATCAGTACTCAACTGAGTCAATCATCAGTACTCAACTGATTCAATCATCAGTACTCAACTGAGTCAATCATCAGTACTCAACTGAGTCAATCATCAGTACTCAACTGAGTCAATCATCAGTACTCAACTGAGTCAATCATCAGTACTCAACTGAGTCAATCATCAGTACTCAACTGAGTCAATCATCAGTAATCCACTGATTCAATCATCAGTACTCAACTGAGTCAATCATCAGTATTCAACTGATTCAATCATCAGTACTCAGCCTGAGTCAATCATCAGTACTCCACCTGATTCAATCATCAGTACTCAACCTGAGTCAATCATCAGTATTCAACCTGATTCAATCATCAGTACTCAACCTGAGTCAATCATCAGTACTCAACCTGATTCAATCATCAGTACTCAACCTGAGTCAATCATCAGTATTCAACCTGAGTCAATCATCAGTATTCAACCTGATTCAATCATCAGTACTCAACCTGAGTCAATCATCAGTACTCAACCTGAGTCAATCATCAGTAGTCAACCTGATTCAATCATTATTACTCAACCTGAGTCAATCATCAGTACTCAACCTGAGTCAATCATCAGTATTCAACCTGATTCAATCATCAGTACTCAACTTGAGTCAATCTTCAGTACTCAACCTGAGTCAATTATCGGTACTCAACCTGATTCAATCATCAGTACTCAACCTGAGTCAATCATCAGTACTCAATCTGATTCAATCATCAGTACTCAACCTGAGTCAATCATCAGTACTCAACCTGAGTCAATCATCAGTACTCCACCTGATTCAGTCATCAGTACACGACCTGTGTCAATCATCAGTATTCAACCTGGATCAATCATCATTAATCTGCTACTTTTGAGTAGTTTTCGAACATCTGAGTTGGTAGTGTAACTATCTAATCCGCAAAGAGGAAATTACACCCAGTAACCGCGAAGAATAGGGCTGTGAAATACATTCCATCAGCACCACCCACAGTAATATATTTGGTTCTGATTCTTTCCTGTCAAGAGGCAACGGGGAAAGGGGAAGGTCGTGGCAATTTTAGGACTAACTACAATCCCGTTCATAGTAAATTTGTGCAGCACATCAATAAGTCTTTTAGACCCCATGGTATAGTGTCAGGAAAGATAGAACATCGATATCTTGCAAAGACATACTAACTTAATCGTTTATATTAGATTGAATCTGTATTCCCTGAATGCTGTATCATATTTTACAAATAATGCACCAAGGATTTGAACCCTTTAAAGATAAGGTGGGATGTTTCATTTTCTTCCCTAACGCAGAATTTACATAAGAATATAGAATTTTATTACTAAGAATTTGTTTATGTTTCTTGGTGTGTATCAGGCATGGTATTTCCACATAGTAAAATGACATATGGAAATCTATAAACAACCTCGTAATATATTATAAAACAATCACATTAACTACCTATATTGGTATAATTGATATAACTCATTACATTACTTTTAAATTTGTTTAAAGTCAAATGATTGACAGTTATCAAATATAAAAATAAGGTATTAAACAGAATACAAAATGAATGAATTACACCTTTTGCATATGGAATATTCAATAATGTTTAAAATAGCAATTTTCAGACGTATTTGCTTCGTATTATGACGTCATGACGACGTCATACTACGAGAGTCAGCATAGCATGTTACAATATGCATGACGTCATCGTATTGTCATATTTCTAATATTAATTGTAATATTTATACAATAATCGACTTGCATAATAGGTTTTTCGTTATTGCCAACCACATAGGTATCACATTAATTTCATTATGTCCTCTTTTAGAGGGTTGACCAATAGAAATAGAAACTCCGAGGGCGATGGTAGAGTTGGAAAAATAATTTGCTAGGATAAATCCTGCATGGATCAGTAGACAATGAATAGACACGTCCAAATCTTAAAGAAAAAAAACTATTCAACAAAATATCAAGCACAAAACTGGGTGAAGGAGAAAAAATATTTTGCTCAGTTTCTAATGGCCTGTCCCTTAATTTGTGAATCCATATTTCAAAAAGCAATCACAGAAAATGTATCAGTGTGCAAATATCCGTTTTTCAAAATCAAAGACGTGTTTTGGCAGGTCTAAATTATCTTGTTCAGTTCCAAGATAAATGAAGGACAAAACATTTCAGATGTTGTTTTCTTACAACTCAATGTTATCGATATGCGATTTTGATATATTTCCGAATATTAAATGCAAATATTTGTTTTCATTTAGTATTTGTAATTATTTTCTACTCCAGTATGATAACTGGTCATGAGTATTCTAGATAGAGTGTACCAGTTGTTTGTGATTTAACTATGTTTAACTGTTTTCGTAGTTTTTACCATTAGTGTACACTCCGTTTAACTACCAATGACGACCAATCGATTGTTTAAATATTTTACAATTGCGTATAGTTGATTTTGATATTTGGTGTTATTTTTTAAATATTCAGGTTGCGAGTTTGTTGAAGAGCGCCACCACGTACTCACTGACAGTCATGGTCACTTCGAATTGTTTTTTACATTCGTTGGAGGCCCCAAACACAATTTTTTTCACTGAAGATCAATTAATTTATACTCAGGTATTCCTAAAAATGTTGGTCACATCTAATCTGAACTAATTCGTATTCAAATTCGATCCATGTGCTTCAACGGTTAAATCGTGAATGGAACAAATAGTACACTTAAATTGTTGGACCCGAAAACAAATTTAAGATTACCTCCTTAGCAAACTGTATTGAAACTGAGTGAATAACTGACTTGCGCCTAATATCTTTAAAACTCATTAGTTTATCAAGAGGGAGCCCAGGAACTATAATAAACTGTGTGGGGAGGGGGGTCGTGCCAGTTTTGAGAATAGTTAGTTACCGTTTTCGTTAACGCCTGGCCTTCACTTTACTAGATCAAGGAAAGTCTGGAAAGTAAACAGATTGACTCGAGCCTTGTGTAGGGCCTATTTAGAATTTGTCATGTACCAATCACGGAACGGGTTACGAATCAGAGCGTTATCACGAATCAATTAGCCTCGAGCTTTGCTTCGTGATTGTAGTGCTTTTCTAAAAATACAACTTGAATGGTCTGTTTGTTGGCGTTTACGGTGTCACGAGGATACAGAAAATGAAACAAAAATGGCTCACCGGACAATTTTTCAAGAAACTAGAGTTTGAATGTAAAATGGTCAGAATTTGGATTTTTTCACTTGTTTTCTGTATTGAAATTTTTCTTTCTTCGGAATTTTGTATTTTACATGTCCCTTTAAACATATTTATGCGTTTCTCGCGTGTTTATATAGCTGTTTTATAATTGTTTGGACTCACGTGACTTCCGGTCTGAGCGTGACTGTGGGACTATTTATAACCACGATTTTTTCGTTTCAAAAAATATTGTTACATTGGCTCAAATTGTGATATACATGTATAAACAATTGTGTCAATTTTAGGTATTTCAATCGTACATAACATGGATCGAATCGTACGCTGTCTTCACACTCGTGAAATTCCCACGTATTAAGGTAGTTTCTACGAAACAGCTGATTGCTACAAAACAGCTGAGATTTTCTTGGCTTGAAGCCAGGTAATTATATATCTTCACCCACACTTTTTTCCCACAAAACACAGGTCAAACATTGACAACAAATGGTGATCTTTGAGCCATTTATTATTGGTTTCTATGGTAACAAGTTTATCATATCTCAAAATTTAATTTGGTACGATGAAAAAATTATATATAGTTACAAGATATGTATTGGTAGTTTTCGTTATGAGATTCTGATGAATTCTATGTATTTTTTAACATGGATTCATATGGTAATTATCCCACAATGTCAATTATTGCATTATTCACACACTTTTTAAAAAACAACAACAATATATTTCATATTAGGTGAAAGGCCAGAAAGGTTGGTCAAGGCTCGACAACAAGGGCGCAGTAATATAAAATATGTTTTTGAAATGCAGTCCCTCACCCCCTTGGCTATTTTCGCAGATTTTTCGTCGCCGGAGCGATTCACGTCCCAAATTTTGGTTCTCTGGGCGTCTCTAATAAATACTCTATCTAACCGCTGGACTGAATTAGCTGAATTATGAAAAATTCATAGAAGATTGGGCGAAAATCGGTCGTTTTTGGCCTCAACGTTTTTTTGCTCGGAAACGCAAGGGCGATAAGACTCGATTTTCAAGAACGCAGGCCGTTCGGATCGGACGGTTTCTATTGTTTCGAGTCTGTTGTGTGTCTAGAAACATAATAACTTTGTTGTTTGGTGAATATAGAACATGCTCTGTTCCAATAAAGAATTTTGATATGCAAATCGAACAATTTTAATAGTTTCTTATTGTAACGTCTCGTATAAATAGTCCTCTACTCCCCAGAATTTGACAATGGTACTAGCCCAGAATCGACTTTCTGTTCAGCGCGTCTTTGATTG